GAATTGCTGCCTAATTTTTATTATAGTTGACAAAATATATAATATGTATGCTTGCCAAATGATTATAGTTTATTTTAAATGACTAAATTTTAAAATGGTATGCTAATACTTCTCTAGATTATTTTATAATGTTTGACACAAAACATCGTTTTATTTATTGTTGATAGAAGAAACCTGCGCGGCATTGGCACTAAAGAATTAGTGGATCTAGTTGAATACTACAATGCTGCTTTGAAAAAAATTAGCAACGACGACGGCGAGCACAGCGTAGAGGTTCAATCAAATAAAACCTACGTCAAAAGGTAATAAAGACTTTATTTAAGTGAACCTCCATGCTGTAAGTGCTGATATCGGAATAAAGCTCAGATTCCAAGATGAAATTGAATTTATATGTAGTGAGATGGGGCGATGCGACGTCCAGCAGTAATACCTCTCGTTAAATGACGTATTCGCCAAGGAGTGTTGAAATCTCTGAATCTAATAACTGATCATGATGTAAATGATTTGCCCTGCAATTCCGTAAAAATCCGTATCAAAATTCACTCGGGTGTCCAAATTTGAAAGTGACATCCGCTTAACATTGAATGTGTAATAACGTTTCGTGGCATAACTCAAGTGAGTTTCAAAATGGCACAGGATAAAATATTTGCGACACGTTTATTCAATCAATCTTGTTTTGTATTTTTATACAAAAAATGGAATCAATAGAATCAATAGAAACTTCATGACATGAATTCGAACACATGAATGAATTCGAATTCGGGTTCGGATTTTCAAGGAATCGCTCTGCTAATCGGAGAGCTATGCCACTCGGTCATACAATGGAGCCGGTCATCATAATCGAGTTCCGGAAGGCACGTTAAGTCTCGGTTGCATCTGCAGTCGGTAACACCAACCAATCCCATTGGGCCCGCGTAGTGGGTTATGGCCCATCCTCCTTTTTGATTAAATTTCATCCATAAGGAAGATTTTGCTCCAGCAGTGGAAACATTAATAGGATGGTAATGATTTTCCACCCCTTAAAAAGCCTAATTCTCAGTCACATTGGCAAGAAAGTATCTGTTGCTAGATATTGATTGGGTGTGGAAGTAGCTTGATATAGTAATTTCACAGTTATAGCAATGGACTTACGCAAGTAATCCCCAATTATATTTAACAGTAACTTAAATAGATCAGTAGTCTTTATTTGTCCCTAGATCCCAGGTTTCATTTGCGGCTTCATCTTTTATGAAATGAACTCGTGTTTTACTAGCTTCTGGACTATACTATTGTTATAAGATACCTAATACATACATAATTATATCGTTAATTGGAAATATTTGGCACTGTGATTTGGCAGGTGAGCTTGTTTATTTTAAGTAAAAATATCATCAGCTATTAATTTTCCCCTGCTTTGGTCTGGTCAGGAATACTGGTCATACTTACACCGTATAGCGCCTTGTCAATTTAAATTTGAGCATGAACTTTTGACCTATGCCCAGCAGTGGGCGTCTCTCGGCTGAATTGATTGATGATGATAAGTCAAACAGTTAAAAAAATAGACCTATATTAGGTATCGGTATGTAATTTTATTTATAATTGGTTTTAGGTATATTAAGTGTTGATGACAGCTTTGCCAGCTTCTTTTAATAAGTGTTTTTATATTGTTTCTAATTTGAATTTTATTAAAACCATCAGCTAAAAAGAAATTATAGCGAGACAAACGAACAGCAATTGATTTTTCTATATAAAGAAGATTTAGATATAGTACAACTTTGAATTCTCACGTTCTTAAGACATATCTTGGGACGAAGAAAATTTTCTTTGGAACATTTTTTAAGAAGGCACAGCACCACGAAGTAAATCACCAACGCGCTGGAGTGGTCAAGTTAAGTCTGCTCTTAATGGCCGTCGTTATGAATGCCAGTCATCCGAAACGAGTTGCAACGATTAGTAAATCATGTCATTAATCCTTTGCGTCTGACCGAAAGTTCAATTTCGCTCGAGATTGGAGAAAAAACAGACTTTGGATTAGTTTCGGGTTCGATGTTGCCGAAACTACGGCCGAAACCAAAACTGCCTTCAGGAGTTCTTGCGCTCCGATTCTTATGATTACAATCACTTTAATACACTATAATCCTAATCAAACAAAGATTGACAAAATTGTACTTAATGTGTTTCAGGCACTGTCCGTTACTTGACAAAGTAACCACCTTCTAAATTTTATAAACCCTGACTTTGTAGCATGACGAACTCGAGAATGTTTTGTCCACACCCAAACGTCATTTTTCTCGCCCACTTTGTCACTTTTTCGGGTGCGCCCATACGATATCTCACTCTCGATCCGAGAAAAGTGACATTTTGTGTAGATAAAGCTTTTCTCGAGTTCGTCATGCTACGCATACTAATCATACCAGTATTGGGGACATGGACAGAGAAATTATCAGGTTTTATAAAATCAAAATGGTGGGGCCTTCCCGGGTTCTGTTAATATTGATTTAATTAAAGGAAAGTCATTCGTAGCGCACTTATTACTACAGTTGTCTTTGAATTTTTTAAGCAATTACATTTAATAATGTGCGTCATATTATTTAATATTTGTACAACTTCATTAGATTTGTTGCCATTAATGATAAGATCGAAAAAGGATTTTCTCCAAGAATCATTTAATTGCTCCGGTGTCGGAAGGTGTATGTGCTGCTCAATGTTACATGTTACGGGATAATTGGAAATGACGTATTATAAAATAATTCTCTTTGTGCTTTGGGAATGAAAAAGGAGGTAATTTACTTTGATTACATTAAAAGGAGTAAAGGAGTATTTTTTTAATCGTTTTAGGCAAAGAGATCTTAGACCATACAGAAATCACGACGATGATGTGTCTATTTATTATTAATTCGAAAATAAACCTTTGTATTTCAATTATTTTTTTAATTCTACTTAAAATTAAGGTGGATGGTTAATATTGAGAGCCTATACAAAAACCATTATTAGTCTATTAAAACAAATTTCAAATTAGTTTGTAAATTGGATATTCTGTGAACCGATTTCACTTTTTATGTAGAGGTTGAAAATAATAAATAACGGTTATTCCAAAATTAATATATTTATATGAATGGAATGTTAGTAGTGATAATTGTATCAAACAGTTCCTGTAATTGTATGTTGATATTGTCAATATTCCTGAAACATTAAAAAAACAAATTATTAATAAACATAATAATGACATCAGGAATTATATTTAAAAACAAGCTATAAAAATAGAAATTGTTTTGGGAATTATAGAATTGATTTTAAACTACACTTTTCAATTCGAGTCTAAGGAAGTAATAAATAGTGAATTTCAAATTGGATCGTCACACAATCATCCAGACTAAATGAATAATAATAAAACACACGTAATTGGAAACGAGCAAAATCAAATACTAATAATTTGAAAATACGATCGATTTAATATTTTTAAGAGTCAAAAACACATTATATATAGTTAAGATACAAAATAACATGCGCTATTTTAAGCACTTTTCAAATGATCCCATATAAATCATGCAAATAAGAGTCAATTTTTCAATATGCGTTAACTTATCTTTCTGATCTTCGCCATTTTGAAAAAAAAACATTATTTACTAACTTTTATTTTGTCTAATATTTATTTATTGCTAATGTTTTATTCTTATTTTAAATTAGAAGAGTTAAAAATTCTCTAATGAAAAATGCAAAATTGATGAAATATAATAAAGAGGTACAATTTCTTTTGTTATGGCCGTTTGTACAAAAACCGCAAATGTTTAAGAAAGAAAAGATAAAAGCTTTTTACATGTAGTTAATTATTTAAATTTAACATATAACGTCGGTAGTTTGCTTCAGTAATTCTGATGCATATTGTGTGTCGTTTGAAAAATTGGCTCTGTCGTGCAAAATATATATTTATAATTAATATCATGATTACCTTTGCTTTTCAAGAGAGAGAGAGGATATTCATTTGCTTATTTATTCTGTATATTACACGGTATGACACATAATTATGAGTTAATTCAAATACATATAAGTAATTTCAAATTCAGACAAAGAAACCTTTGGGTTATCAACAAATATGTCCCTCTGCAAGAGATAAAATGGCGGCTGGTTAAGCTTTTACGTTTTCTTTGGCGGGAATTGATAAGATACTTATATCATTATTTTTTATAATGAGTTTTGGTCCGTGATATGATTAAAATAACATATAAACTTCAAAAAAAAGGAGTCGAGGGACTTCTCACATACATTAAAAATGTCCAACAGATAGCCGAGCCAAAATAAAATTGTTTCTTTCATCTTTAGTTCGATTTTGGCAGACTTTTTACGAATTTTTAAAATATTTATTTTTATTTTTCTTTCATTGTTATACAATCCTTTCAATGAGCAGTTATCTTTGTATACATAAGACATTAACCCTAAACACAATACAGTCGTTTTTTTGGGCAGTCGTGTAAGAGTAATATTATTTTGTAAGAAAAAGTTTCATGTAATTGGAAAATATATAAATCAATCGTTGTAAAACATAAAAATGTTTCATGAATTTAGCACGGGGATACCAACAGGTAATTTCTTTTCTGTAAACTTCTTTTTTTTTAAATTTGTAAATACTCAGATCCCTTTGCCTTCAACGATATTACTACTAAACTCCCCCCTTTAATTAGAAATAATAATAATGAAGAAATATTAATTTTCTAGTGCTTCCCCTCGTATTGTCTTAAACTAAAGAATTGCTTATAGGTTTTTGTTTTACTGTTTTTATTCGGCAAGGACCATGCTGAGGTTTATGAGAAATTTGGAAAGATAAACTTAAATATATTCATGAATATTGAAATAAACCATCGAATACGATACAATAATCCGTCTTGAAGTGCATTAAAGGCTTGGGCATTTATTGAAAGAGTTCTTTACATGCTCTTTGGTCAAACTAATTAACGCCATAAGTTTTTTAAATTAGACCTCATTCAAGCTAGACAATGCATAGAAAAATAATTTACCGGCTGTACCTAAGAAATGTAGGCTCCGTTAAGTATGATATTCTTTTTGTGTGTCAAAAAGAAAAGAAAAGGGTGGAAAGCCCGAAAAACCTCTGGTTCGTCAATAATAATACTGGCGCCTCGGCCGTAGTACACTGTGAAAGAGTAAAGTATTTATTTTACGTAAAAAGAACTTCATTACACATAATTTATATTGTTTGTAATTAGTTATTGTAACGTTATCTTTTATAAGATTAAGAGGGTTTCGGTTATGTACTTGACTTTAAAAGTATTAAACAATAATAAGAACTTATATTAGTCTGAGCTAAATAAATAGATGTTTAAAATTTTATTTGGTCTTCATGATTTTTTATAAAAATCTATTCACTATATTATATACGTGAACTGATCGATATCTGAACATTTAATATAAACGTAATGGAACACAAATGAAGATTTAAAAAAAATACTGATTATCGGTTTGTCTGTGCGTTTGTGCACGTTAATCTCAAAAACGAACGAACCGATTTATATGCTGTTTCAGAACCGATTTAATAACAGGAAACTCCCAAAGACAGCTTAATACTCTTTATTGCACATCAAGATAATGACATGAACATACATAAATATTTTACATTACTACGTACAAAAGATAAACTTATCGCTAACCAGCGATTTCTTCCAAGCAACCTAGCATTGGATGGAAAACTATTATTATCTCGAGCTCCTCCGCGCTTCAGGTTGCAAGTTAAGCCGTTGGTCCCGATTGCATCAGTAGTCGTTAACACCTACCAATACGTATTGGGCCCACATAGTGGGTAATGGACCATTGATCCTATTCGATTCGATTCGATCCATATCCATAGGAAAGAAAAAAGTCTTTTATTATACTTTCCCACATATATAGCATATGTAAAGAAAACAGAGAAGAAATATAAGTAATATATACTGTAAATCAAGAAATAAAAGAGTTTTAAAGAATAAAATGGAGATGTAATAAAAAAATATATGATATTCCATTACCACGTTATGAAAAAAATATCGAAAGTGTCTAGCTAATAGAACATTTCAGCTAATAGAATAGAACATTCTTTCTTTCAAATAGAAAATGTAAAGTTATTAACGCCGAATGTTTGTGTATTTTTTAATAATTAATCATGTTCCTTAATCTATATAGAACGCCGAAATTGTATAAATGAATTATAAACGATTTTCAGCAAAGAGCTCTTATTACAATCTAGCGAGGTGGATTACGTCTTTGGTCTATGATCGCAGACTAAGTAATTTTTACGAAGTCCTGTCAACAGATGTTAATAAAACAATTTACTGAATAGCGTATTTTTTCTTAATTTTTAATAAAATATAGGTTGGAATGTTTTTCTTTGAACTGTTTCGTCAAACAAATAGAGTTAGTTATTGTAATCTAAATGCACCGAAGTTTATAAATGGAATATTTAAGTAATTTAATTGGTCGACATCTTTATTTTAAAATATTAGTAACTAGTGCATGTTATATACACTACCTACGATTCTGTTTTTAACTGTAACTGCAACATATATACTACCAAATAAAATAAGTAAATATATTATATCTTAAAGAAAAAGGTCAATATAGCAGTGTGAGTGAAAAATTGATAAATAATAATAATAAATATACATAATTTTGAATTCATCCCAATTAAATTATTACTTTGGAATTATTGTAATTACATTCTTACGTGCAAATTATTATCTACAAATGATTTCTGCTTTAATTACATTATTTTCATATAAAATTATATTTTGTATTTATACATATATGATCAAATAGTGTTAGGTAAGTAAAAAACTAGTGAAAACTATGGACAAAACCATTCACCAAGCACACATGATGCACAGAAAAATAGATTATCGACTGTACCTAAGAAGAGTAGGCTCCGCTAAATAAGACATTCTTTTTGTGTGTTAGGAAGAACAGGAAAGGATGACTAGCCTTAAATATTTTTTGTTCACTAATCCTAAGACTGGTATGTATAATCTGGAATCCTGTAAAAAATAAAATACGATGATCACTTTCTATCAAAACGTTGTTACCTAAACGTTTTGTATGGTTTTGTCATTAGTTATTTGTAATATTATTTGATGATAAAAACTATATTTTTTAATAATATAATGAAATACGCTTGTATGTTTTAAAAGATATTAGAACAAATTTAAAAAAATATAAATTACTCATCTTAATCGAAAACAGTAAATAAGTTTTGGTTTATATCGCGTACAAAAGATGTTTAGTCTAAAGATATTCTTGTAAAGGAAATAGCTTATCGACTCTACCTAAGAAATGTAGGCTCCCATAAATATGACATTCTTTTTGTGTGTTAAGAAAAACAGGAATGGATGGCAAGCCTTAAATACTTTTGGCTCACTAATTCTATAACTGTAATGTACCACCTGGAATCCTGTAAAAAATAAGATACGATGATCACTTTCAATAAAAACGTTGTTACCTAAACGTTTTGATTGGTTTTGTCATTAGTTTTTTGTAATATTATTTGGTGGCAAAAATATATTATTTTTTAATAAGTTGCGTTTGTATAATAATAGTATGAAATACGCTTGTATGCTTTTTAAGATATTAGAACAAATACAAAAAAGTTATAAATTCTTCATGTAAATCGAAATCAGTAAATAAGTTTTGGTTTATATCGCGTACAAAAGATATTTAGTCTAAAGGTATTCTTGTAAAGGAAATAGCTTATCGACTGTACCTAAGAAAAGTAGGCTCCCATAAATATGACATTCTTTTTATGTGTTAAGAAAAACAGGAATGGATGGCAAGCCTTAAATACTTTTGGCCCTCTAATAAAAAAACTGGCACCATCTCCTACGTCGTATTCTGAAAAAATATACATATAGATAGAATGATCACTCCATATAAATATGTCGTTAAATAAATAATTAGTATGGTTTTGTAATCAGTTATTTGTATTTTTATGACAAAAATTAATAAAAAAATATCCTTCTTTTTAATAAATTACTTTAATATAACAACAGAACGAATTACGATTGTTCGAGTGTATATATTGTTATTGAGCGCAGCCTCCTGATGTTTCATCTACCCGTTATTAGATGGCATCACGTGTTATTTAAATCGGGCTAACACCATCGAAACTATGTGTGTCATATAGCTATATGTCAGTGAGAAAGGGACAGTCATTGGAGAAGAAAGCCAGGTAGCCGTTTTAGAAGTTTTGGCAATATCTCGAATACACTGGTAGGGATGTAGTATCGGCACTATGAATACTCATGCCGGCATTCTTTCATTGACATATCTAGTGAACTGAAAACGAGAGCAAATACAAGCGGCATCTGAAGCGAAATTTAGCGAAGTAAACTGTGGCGGGACGATCAAGTAGTGTCGTGAAGTAACAGCGTCACTACTGTTAGTAGTGAAATCGAAATGTGTATTTTGATATGGAATTTCCCGCATAAATTATAACCCATGCCACCTGTATATGATATACATAGGTTCCCATAATTGTTTTTTTTTAAAATAGGTCTAATAGTTTTAGAGACTATTTAAAATAAACAATCGATCAAATGTTTGCTCTATAAAATGTTATCGTATAAGTTTAAATTAGTTATATTTAAAAACTAATAATGATATTAGTAATAAAATTATAACAGATATACACACGGCTGCTCATCAGGTTACCGCAATATGGCAAATTTCTGGTATGGGTTTACCCTCAATATATTAAAATGTTTAAAATCAAGTGGGGAAATTTGCTATTTTTGGAAACTCGGACCTGCAGTTGATTGTACATAATCCTTACCTGCGTCTAGGTACACAAGATTTAGAGAGCTCCTGTGAGCACAACATGATTTTAAACCGATAAAATTTGTAGTTGATAACTTTATAACTTTCTAAAGTTCGCAACTTCGTTAAAATTGATATTTGAGTAGACGAGGATTGTGTGATAAGCGTTTCAGGAAAATGGTTTTATTAGATTTTTATTTTGATTAAATAATTATTTTCGATATGTGTCATTATATATATTTAAATTTCTTCATAGAAGTGTTAACGCGTATACCTTCATATGGGACTTTATCTTGATCAAGTGTCCATGTATGTTTTTTTTCTATTAACTTCAAGATCCGATACATAATGTCTAGAGTGTATGAGAGAAATTGAACTAATAGTTAAAGGCATTACAGTGAGATTTTTATATACATAATATTATTGTAGATTATTTTTTTGCATAAATTTTCACTTAGAAAAGGTAAATACAAATATAATTTGTTCAAAATAAAAATTTTCTTAATTTAAAACTTGACTGATTCTGAAGGGTGAGCTGTAGTGGGTAACCATAGCAACGTATACTGTGTTGCTTATAGTACATATTTGTATTTGGTATATTAAGAATGAAAAAAATATCATAAGTTCTAGTAGGTATAACGTATATATTTTATTGTCACGAATTAATTACAGAGTCACATAAAAATTATTACGACAGAGAGTTTCTTCTTTCATAAGCAAATACAGTTTTGAGTATGCGCTGCATTATAAAATAAATGAATAATTAATATAATACACGTTTATTATAATAATCTTTAATAAACAATATAAAATCCCACAAATTTTGTAGATAGGTTACAATTTACCAATAATATGTCTGTTTATAAACACTGTCTGACTACTAAAGCTTATTTTGTTTTAAAAGTACCGCAAAACAGTGACACATATATATTTACCTACATTCAAATCGAAAACTTTGAATTACGAATTCAAAGACGATTCTACACATACGCACTTTATAAACGGATATACATAAAATTAAAAATAAAACTCATTATAGTACCGCTATCTTTTTTATTCAATAAACTAGTCTATGGTTTTAGGCTGAATATAAAAAAATGGCGAACGCATAAATTACTTCCTTGTAACTTACCTACTTTGTTTAATTTCATTTTTTCTATGAGTGAAGATAAAGTAGTTAATGAAACTGCGTATAACTTACATATTAAAACACTCGAGTCAACCTATTATTGATAAACAGACTATCGTGTTTTAATACCCCTTCTTATATGACAGTTGCATAAACTACTATTATAATATTAAATTTATGTCAAATTATTGTCTTCAAATCTCGTTAAATTATGTGACGATCGAGATATGTAAAATGAAATCATAACCTAGTAATCATCTACTAATCAATTAGAAAGAGTGATAGCTTATTAGTAGAGATGCGTTGAATAGTGGTTTCATCGAATAACCGAATTCCAAATACTGTTTGGTCTAATTTCTAACCGAATCTAATATTCTTTCGAATTATTCGATTTGTCATTTCATGATTTCGCCGTGTAAATATGGTTCAGTAATGAATGTTGATAGAAGTTTAAAAAGAAATGTGGATTTGATAGAATTTAAAAATCTGTTGATTTAATTATAATTTAAAATCAAGTACCTATGTTAATTTGAAGTTTTAAAATAAATGTTGATTGAGTTTAATTGTTTGATTTTATTACTTTTATTCAACATATTTCTATCTAATAATAGTCATAGTATAAAATAAATCTTACATGAAAAGTTTTCTTTTAGTTTTATATTGTGTACCTACTGTAGCCAAGAAAATAAAAATACTAGTAATGAATATATTCGGCATTAAAATCGAATAATTCGGTCGAATGCGAATAGCGAAAAATACGCCGAATCTCGAAAAGTACACGAATATTCGGCGCATCTGTTTCGACGCAAACTACTTTCTTTTTTAGTTTTAACGCATAGATTGTCTATTTGCATTGAACGGAATTGTTTCAGATTCTCCTTGTATGTCAGTCAGTACGTAAACTGGAAAAAAATCTTTACGAACACATTTTTTTTTTTTTGGTATAGGGGGCAGTCGAGCAGACGGTTCACCTGATGTTGAGTGATTACCGCCGCCCATGGACACCTGCAACACCAGAGGAGCTACAAGTGCGCTGCCGGCCTTTGAGGGACGAATAAGCTCTACGCTTGAAAGTTTGAAGGTCGTATCGGTCCGGAAATACCGCTGGCGACAAACTGTTCCAGAGTTTGGCTGTGCGAGGCAGAAAACTTCTAGAAAAACGCACAGTTGAGGACTTCCAACCATCCACATGATGGGCGTGGATTTCTTGTCGCGTGGAACGGTGGCGGAAAGTAGCGGCAGGTATAAGTCCGAACAATTCCTCGGAGCATTCCCCGTAATAGATGCGATAGAAGATGCACAGTGAAGCAACATCTCTACGCAGGGCCAGTGGATGAAGCCGACTTGAGGTGTCTCGGCAATCGACGATTCGAGTCGCTCTCCGCTGAATGCGGTCTAGAGGGAGAAGCTGGTATTGGGGTGCACCTGCCCAAAGATGAGAACAGTATTCCATATGGGGCCGAACCTGCGTCTTGTAAAGCTGCAGGCGATGCGCCGGAGTGAAATACTGCCTCGATCTATTAAGCACACCAAGCTTCTTAGATGCTAATTTAGCTTTATCCTCTAAGTGACCACGGAACTGGACTTCGCTCGATATGTCGACACCGAGAATCTCAATATTGGCTGAGGCAGTTAGGGGAATGTTTTGAAAGCGAGTAGATACGACAAAAGGGGCTTTTTTGGCGGTGAACGCGAAAACCTGTGTCTTAGTAGGGTTGAAGTGGACCAAATTAAGTTGACCCCATTTAGAGACTTCCTCTAACGAAGATTCAATATCAGACACAAGTTGATTCCGGCTCTCAATGACGCTTTCCCGAGAAATATTAGCACGACCGTTATAGGTGGAGTCCTTCGTGCTGTCATCCGCATAACAATGAATACCGCTAATTTGCAGCATATCATTAATATGCAGAAGAAAAAGTGTAGGTGATAGCACACATCCTTGGGGAACATCAGCATTTATAGACAGTAGGTCGGAGCATTCACCGTCGACTAAAACCTTAATGCTTCTCTCTGCCAAAAAACTAGTGACCCATGCACATAATTTCTCGGGAAGCCCATACGAGGGAAGTTTTGATAGGAGAGCCTTATGCCACACGCGATCGAAGACTTTCGCTATGTCCAAACTTACTGCCAGGGCTTCGCCCTTTGTTTCAATTGCCTTAGCCCAGTTATGTGTCAAGTAAACTAGAAGATCGCCAGCAGAGCGACCACTACGAAATACGTATTGTTGGTCACTAAGCAACTGGCGATCCTCTAGGTACCGAAGGAGCTGGTTGATAATGGACTCCATTATCTTTGAAAGCAAAGGGGTTATAGCGATCGGCCTGTAGTTGGACGGGTTCGAGCGGTCACCTTTTTTTGGGATCGGATGATGATTTTCTCTGGAGGTGATTATTAAGTTTTTTCTTTAAGTTGAACGTTCTATAGTCCTTTCATTTCAAATAATTATACATATTTCAGTAGTAAACAGCGGTTTATCTGCGCTTCCTTTTAGCTCAGAAGAGTTTATAAAACGTTATCCTAACGTTAACTTTGAATCTTATTTAAAATAATATCTTTTTAATGTAAACGTATTACTTTATGTTTTTGTATATTTCCCTTAATGTTAGTTTTTTTTTATGTCAAATTTCCCGACCTAATTCTTAACCGTAATGTTTTGTGGGTAGAACTCAAACTCAACTGTGGAATTTAGACTTGGACTCCAACTATTGGTAACTTTAATACACATATTTTAACAACTAATATACTCATACACACAATGGCAATGTCGAAAGGAGAGCTTTCAGACATTCTTTAAACTAATAAAGTGGTATATGAATACTTAGTCATAAATCGATTATCATATTATTTATTTTACAATACAGCACATATTACAATCAGTTTTTTTCCTTAATTATAAATGCCCATAAATAATAATAAGTTTTTTAGTTTTAACGCGTAGATGAAAGGTCTATTTGCATTAAATTGAAGCTCTGGCCCATAATCTCTGTCTGATCTGGAGCTTACTATGTAAACTGGAAACGATACAAAAAAAAATTAAGGGTTATTATGTTTTTTGTTTTAACAAGAAGGTGGAGGTGTTTATTAAACTGTTATCTTCGCGTAAGCATCTATTTTTTTGTTAATATAACAAAGGGAAAGTTAAATGAAATTTAACATTTTCCATGGATGTCTAAAAGTCGCAGAACTTTTAAAAGGAAAAACTGGTCAAGAGCTAGTTAAAATCGCACACGGAAGGTTCATATATAGTATCTCTAGGTATTTTTATTTGTACAATGTGGGACCTTAATAACACCATTATTAAGAATGTTATTTGTATGACATTAATACATTTGTATTCAATAGACGTATGTTCATACTTATAACAACTGAAACATAATTTGAAATTCTTTTATTGAAGTCAGATCTGGGTGTTAGTTGCTGTCTATAGCGAACCACAATAACGTAAATTGTCGCAAAAGATAGAAAATGGTGACCATTAACATTAATGGAAGGCTATTTTTTCCTGATATACCCTTACATTAGAGAATATATAATCTAAGGATAAACCATGTATTTGCGATACAGTTCAATTTTTTCAATGGTTTTAGAAATATAACTAATTTTAAATAATTTATCTACATAGAAATTTTATTCATGTCTGTCCTACATGTAATGTTCTACATAGAATTATACGTAGGACAGATAATGTACTTACCAGTTTTACACTGTCTAGGTTAAATGCGCTTGATAGCGAATTTATATAAATAAATGATTATCCTTTATGTAAAATATATATATATATATAATTCAATAAGCTCAATTAGATTTTAATATTTCGATTATTTTCATGAATATTTATTTTACAGTTACAGAATTAATTACCCTAGGCACCAAGGTACCAATTTTAATAAATATAACATATGTTTTAAGTATTATTTATAATATAATACACTTGATACTTTTTCGCGATTCATCATCATCAGCCCTTTTACGTCCCCACTGCAGGGGCTCAGGTCTTCCTTATGAATGGTAAGTGGATGGGCCATGAACCTCCACGCTGGCCCAATGCGGATTGGAGGGTATGAACGACTGCAATTGCAGCCGATTTTTCGCGATTACAAAGTGTATTTTCATCAATGTTCATGTAATCCTTGATATCCATGTGCTTGAATAATTCGTTGGTCCTATTAAATCCTGGGAAGCTCAGTGTTTAGAGTAGTCGCCCGGATCGCGAAAGTTTGTAGAGTCCCGGCCCATGCTCTTTAACCGTCCAAAAGGAAGGCCTGAGTCCCTATAGTGAGGGCGTAAAGGGGCCGATGATGATAACGATAAATTAAGAATTTCACACTCACCACTTGCCACAGCTGCCTCAGCTCCTTCTTCATTTACTTCGATGAACGCCTTCTGGATAGCATCACTAACGTATAAACCTCTGCCAAAGTTTTTAAGAAGCTTTTCCAGTCTAGCCTTTTTGGAGTCAAATAAGGTTTTAATCCCCATCTGAAATTCAAAGAAACACATTGAGTGTTCAAAGTATTTAATCTCATTTAATAGTATCATTATAATTGTACCGTATAGCAATCCTTTTCATTTTGAAAGAAAACTTCATCCTATGCAACTGTTCGACATGTGAAAGTAATTACGACCGCGATGTTTTTTAAAGATATTAAATTTGCGATATCGTTAGTTTAACGACTGGGATTGTCTACCTACGGCAAGCGCGAAAGACGCAAATATCTTTGAAAACTATTGAGAAATGTCCAACGAAAGAGTAATATGCTAACTAAAATCTTTTGTTGGGTCTAGCGCGAAAAATAAAATAACTAAGTTTTTATTAAGTTTCTTTTTGATTAATTATGTCAAAAAGTCGCAAATTAAAAACAAAAAAAGGTCCCCTTGTTTCAAAATTATAATATCGAATAAATTCTTTAATAATGCAAAAGTATTATAAGAAGGTAAACTTTGTGAATAAAACATATTTTATGATTTTCTAATTTACCCCAAAAGACACCACAATGTTTAAAATTAACTTTTTCACGTTACATATATATGTAAGTATTACTATATTTCAACTCAATTGGTTAATAGTTTTGGAATGCACCAAGGTTCCTTTTAAGATATCAATACTTACATTTTCAAGTACAGTTATTAGGTTAATTCTGGTTTCAATCTTAAACTTGGGGAGATACACAGAGACTAGAGTGGTGTACATCTTTTCTGTGGCCTTCTCCAGAGCGCTGGGGTCTTTCAATTTCTCTTGAAGAGCATTTAGTCCATCAATTTGATTCGGAAGAACAATTAAGAGTGATGCTTCTTCTCCTTCATAGAAAATTTCCAAGAGCTGAAATTTAAAATATGGACATTGTCCGATTAGATAAATTTTGCTTTCACAATGCTATATTATACTTCTGTATGTTAAGAATAATTATGAAAATAACATTAGAACAAAATTATAGAGATAACTGATAATGTTGAAAATAAATAATTAAAAATAACAAATACCTTAGCATCTAATTCCTGACTGTAGCCGTATTTGAAGTCGTCACTTTTAGCCATTGTAGGAACTTTAATAGTTTTGTCTTTTGTCACATGAAAATCGCGGTCTCTCGTCAGTCTAGAGTCAAATTTCTTCTTCCAGGTGCCCTATTTTAAATCAAAGAATAAGTAATAATAATATTTGGACTTTTTTTTATCTCATGTATTTAAACACAATAATGTTTGCGTTACCTTGAAATAGATGGCATTTACGAGAACAGCTTTTGTGTCAGATCCTAAAGATTGAGGGTCGACCAAATCCTTGATCCTTTTATTAGTGTTATCCTCAACCTATAAAGTTCAACAGATTGGTATTTACTTATGTCGTCATCATCAACAGCCTTAATATTTATTGTCCGGCCGGTATTGCATGGAAGTTCAAATCATAATTATTTATTACGCAGCGACTTGAGAAAATAGCAATATTTATTCACTTTATTCATAACACGTTAATAAAATTATTTTAACTAATTTTTCGTCATTACCACAATAATGTTTATCAGCCCTTTTACGTTCCCATTGCAGGGGCTCAGGCCTTCCTTATGGATGGTTAAGAAGAATGGGCCATGATCCTCCACGCTGGCCCAATGCAGGGTTTTGGCGACTGAAAATGCAGTCGAGACCAATAGCTTAACGTGCCTTTCGAAGCACGGAGTAACTTGAGATAATAATTTCACAAGGGTGAAAGTTGCTTAACAACAACGATCGCGGGCCTCGGCGCTTATCCACTACGTCACCATGCTTCTATTTTTAATAAATGTCATCAATTACCGGGGAAAAATTTTACTTTTCTAAAATATCTTTTTATTGAACTTACCCAAGAGTTGATAGTGGCAGCAGCTTCAAAGTTCTTAACGAAATCAACTTGCTTTATGTCTGAATGGAATACGTCCCTAGAAACTACACCGAATTCCTCATTTAGTTCAACATCTCCTGGAAGGAATATTCTGTTGGCTATCTTCAAGTCGACTCCTTTTACTGACCGTACGTCTTGACTCACGTAAGAAAACACTTCTTTGGTCTGAATAAAAGTTTTTAAGTAACTTTAGAAATATATGAATCATCTTTTATCAATTATTATCATTATCCTTCTATTTAGACAACATATCCTTCAATTCTAAAACGTTTGAGTGAGTTTGGGTGATATTATAGGTTCCAACTGTGTAGCTATGTTCATTGTTCATATTCTAACGTTATTGTTTGTTATTATTCCGTTATTGCTAAACCATAGAAGTATTTTAAATATTATTTTATGTTGTATTACTTCACACTGATCGCCGATAGATGGCGCTGATTGTTTTGTGAAACTCGGTATCGAGTCGTATTACAATAATGTATTTATAAACTGTCTGTTCATGTCGATTACATCATTTGCCTACACTATCACAACCTGTCGTTTTATTCATAAACTTGGTTTGGTAGTAATAATTTTTGGGAGAATTGTACGTTCATAGCACGCAAAATCTGCTTGTCTTATTGGTCTCGTTAGGGCTTAAGTACACAACAAAAAGTTTTTATTTATTTTTTTGATCAATTTTGCATTCACAATGCTATACTGAAAAATATTCTTAATAACAAAATGCTTAAAAAAATGAGTTCAAATCCCTTCTCAGAGTGCCATGCATTGAGAGTGCAAAATTTATTAAATATAATAATTAAAACAAACCTTTTCTGTAGTATCGTAAAAGTAACAAGTGTTTAAAAAATCCTGTTAGGTCCTGGGTGAGTGGTTAGACCAGTCGCCCGGATTGCGAAAGGTCACGGGTTCGAATTCCATCGCAGAGTGCCAGGGACAAAAAGTTTTTATATTGATTGTTCATTTTAATATGAATTTATTCTGCTGAGTTGTATTTTAACCGCACATATTGCACTTTCTTTTATAAGTTATAAAGGGTAGTTACTATATTAGGGATGACGACTGGGTAAAAAAAGAAATTATATTTAGTCCATCTGTCAGATAACAGAAAAATATTAGGCCCTTACATATGAAATTGGCGTTTTGTCGTACTGGCCATTTTAATCACAAATTTTTCCTCCTTGGTTGGGCATTCCAAATTCAAATTTATACAGCCATTTACACAAGTATTTGTGTTTCCTTAAGCGGCATTAATTTTTTTTTCTTCTGTTTGTCCTATTTACGTCACCCAGTATAAAAAATGGAAATCTTGAAATAGCTGTTTATGCAAGAAATAGAAGTTGAGAAGTAGGGGCTCGCTACGTCACAGTTTTGTTCATCTAGAAGAGCGTGACGTCATCTGACATTTTAACTCAATGTGTCGCCATATTTTAATGAGTACGAAAAAAACAAAAATAACGTGTTTTATATTTTTCGACAATCTACCTGAAGCACAAACAAACAAAAATTTGTCGTGATGCCTATTAAGTTATGATGACTTAGAAAGCTAGTAAATTGCCATTTTTTATTGTGTCAACAAGAAGTATAGTCTATAAATATAGTAATCTTGTGGTCTATTATTTTTCACTTTTTAAAGCGAAAGTTTATTCCAAAAACAGTTCCATCAAATTATTGTGAATTTTATTTATAAGAGTAATTCTGTTTCTATTATATATGTCGCATCATCATTACGAAGATCGTTTGATTTAGTTTCTTTTATTTTAATTGCTAGTTACTCGATTACTTAATTACTCGATTGTAAAGAGAGCGTGATCATCGATACTTTTAATTTTATTAGAATGGTGACACTGACTTTGACAGTTCGTTAATAAAAAACAAGTTGCCGCCATTTTGGCACACATTCTGTTTCCGATCGCCGAGGAGTAAAAACATCCGACGACATCACGCTCATCTCGTTATATTTTCGTTTGAAAAGTGATAAAATGGAATAAATCCACGTTAGTATACACGCCTGCAGTGTTATTTTAAAGATATGGACGATCTATTTGGGCTTCTTAATAGCCCCTTCTGACTACCCGCCGTTATATATTATTTTTATTATATGTTAAATTCCGTAAAAGACGAACGAAGGGTCGACATTTTCGTAAATCTTTTAGCCATAGATTCTTACCATTTCTGGTTTCTTTCTATAAAATTATGTCAATAGATTTATTAACAATATCCTTTAAATACCAGACAGCTCAAAAATACACTTTTACAATGGCTTCTCCCATTGTCTCATGGGGAGACAGAAGTGTTACTTCATCACATTAAGTAAACTATTATGAATTTTATAAATATTGTTATTACAGAATATTTTTAAGTTAGTATTTAAGCAATGTGACCCACTGTACTCTTGCAAAATTACATATACTTGTATTATTTTTATCAACGGAAGTTTGCGAGTATTTAAGTTACCTATTTTATGTTCCCACAGATCTACACTATTGTATTTTTATGGACTTCACCTGTTATCCAATACCATATTGTAATTTTGTTTTGGTAAATGAAGTTATTATTATTAACCAGTAGTACTTACAGCATTATCATTGGGTAGGGCGATGACTTCGAGGATTTCGTCATGTGTTATGTCAACTGAGGCTAAGCCCAGTTGAGCTAGAGGTGTCATCGCTGAGAAACCGGACATTACAACGCTTTTGCCGGAATTCTCTTTTGCGACTTCCTACAGACAAAGAAATGATGAGAAAATAAATATTTTATTCGTGACTGGTATTACACAAATGAAATAGAAAGACTTAGATTCTATAATAGAAGAGGTATTAAAACAAAACAAAGAAAGAGGAAGTAATAATAAAAACACAAAATGAAAAAATAATACCTATAAAACAAAATAAAAATATACAGGTATTATATAAGCTATCTTTAATGACTATGGCTTTGTGTTTGAGCTCTAGAAGCATAGAATAATAAAAATACATCTTTAACAGAGAGATAGCGAATTGTTCAAAAAATTTTACCTATGTTAATAGCATAGATCATACAATCATGTTTTCATAAAATATGGTGTATAAAAAATTAAAATATTACATATTTTACTATACAATATAATAATACAATAGTTTTATGACATTATAGTCAATGAATTACTTGTATGGACTAAGTGCAGTCAACAGCACGTCACTACATCAATGACCTCCTTCAATCGTCTTCGCCTCTATTTTTCAAATTCTTATCCCCAATCAAAAGTTAATATAAACAATATCACATACATTACGATGATTCCACGATGAGTGGCTAAAATCCCATATTATAGAATATCTGAGACAATCGCGTTCACTCACCGGCTTTAAGGTTTCGCCATCTGTAAAGACGATTCCCGGTCGCGTCAAAGCAGTGAATGGACAGATAATTGTTTCAGATATTCTATATAATATGGGATTTTAGCCACTCATCTTGGAATCATCGTAATGTATGTGATGTTGTTTATATTAACTTTTGATTGGGGATAAAAATTTGAAAAATAGAAGGCTTTCTATGAGTTATTAGCTTTTGGCGCCTGACTTCATTAGCTTTTTTCTTGAATAAGTAGCTTTTGAGTTATGTGCTTATGTATCATATTTTTAAAGTTTGAAGTCGGTTCTACTTTTGCCTAACACTAAAAATATGAAATATCTATAAAAAATATAAATAATAAATAAATAAAAATATTCATCATAGTGTAAGTCTTAGAAAATAAGATTTTATACATAATTTATTCCAATAATTTTACACTTATATTTTAAAAATCTTTCCTAGATGAGATTACTATTTTCTTTCATCTATGAAAAGCTACTTAATACGTGTTAGATATAGGCTATAATTTATGCAGGCGAAGTCGCGGGAAAACAGCTACTTTGGTTGAAATTGGTTCACAATTCAAGAAGAAATTGAATAATATACGTACTTTCATAAACAAATATACTACACCTTGAACATAAAAAAATCACCTTTCAGATTTTGAATGAATTCCAAATACGCAATCTTTTGTTTTTTAGCTGAAATGGACTATGTTTTATCATATCTACTAAATATTTTGGTGATATTTGGTGGAATTTTATTTTATATATAAAGAATTTTGAAATTAGGTCAACAATTGGTGAAACATCAGTGAATATACATAAAAAAATACATCGCCGTCGAATATATAACCACCTCCTTTTGGATTTTGAAGTCGATAAAAAATTGTCCATTTGTTGAATGCGTTTATGTGTACGAAAATTTGTTGCTTAACGAAAGTTTTTAAGAACTTATACTTTTAAACGTTATGACTGTGAAAAGTGCACGTTGTTTGATTGCTTTAACTTTGAGATCGTTTGAAGGTCAATTATGACATGATCTCTAAAAATAATATTGTTTCTATTTGTAGAGATGCAGAATTATTTTTAGAACGTACTCATAATAACGAGCATCGTATTTTATTTGTTACGATTATAATTTATAAGAAGGAAAATACTTCCTTCTTACAAATTATAAGAATGGTCAATTTACTAAACATCTTAGTATTCTAAGAGACTCATTGTTAATTAAACAATTGTACGTTGATATAATGTAATGCCTAAAGTTTTTAACCAGTTATTGAATTGGTTAAAAAATTTTGCTGAAACAGAAAAAAAATTACAGAGTCGTCGCGTTCTACGACTTTTCCGAGTATTATCTTCTTAATTAACATATGATAATTTAGTAATTAACATAATTTCATAAGAATATAATGCTTCCACAATTTTCTCAATTTGCAGACCTTCGGAAATCTGATATTATACTACATTTATCGATATCTTGCTATTTTTTAAAATTTTAGATGTATCAGCTTAATTCCTTGTTTGTCCAAGATTTTAGAGAGGCTTTATTCAATGTGTTGTTGACATCTTAATTGTTATATCATAACAGCACTGTTAGAGAATTATTTAACGTAACAAGTGACGTAACGATGGTATAAGGTATGGCCATCGTTGAGTTTTGTAAGATTTTGTCATATTAAATAAGAATTTTTCACTATCTAAGTTTAACACATATTATAACTTAAATGCTGCAAAACTTAAAGAAGTGAAAATATATAGAATAAGTCTATTTGAGTAACAATGATACTTCTAATTCGAGTTTTTTCCAGCAAATAGTGAACATAAATGTGCCGTGAGGGTCCATTCTAGGACCACTACTCTTAAATATACGTTCGGATGTAATATCATATATGTATGCAGATAATTTACACACATACCGTTTAAACCAAATCAAAGAAATTCTACTTTAGCCACATTAAAAGAAGCTTCAAAAAATAAGTGGTTGGTTCTTACATAATTTTGAAAATAGGTAATTTTGGTAATAGAGCCATCGCCATATTAAGTTTAAAACACATAACTTAGTCTGATTGTAGATTTTTAAGCACAATAAGATGAGGCATAACCGATTTGATAAATTATACAGACATACTCATATACAGTTAACGAACGTCAGGTTATAAAACTGTAATTTTTGAACTTCATTTTAAAACTTTATGCGTTGTGTGTACAGGTAAAAATCAATTGCGTATATTTCACATTATGGTACAAACTGACGTAAAGCCGTGTGTATATACCTACATAAATATACAAATACGTACATAAATAATAATAATAATAAACTTTATTTCTTCTCTCACACAGGTATCATAATATAGTAACCTCCTTAAAAACTAAGTAGAACAATTTTCTAATCTATGCGAGAGACTGGTATCTGTACTAGGATAAGTTTCTTATAAAACATATAAGTAATTTTACTCACAGTAAACATTTTAGCGGTGAAATGATTAGTTGCATCAATGAGGAGTCTGTGTATGCTCGATTCATCTGCCATTGCCATGGCAACCACGGCCAGAACTGTAAATAAAATAAATATTTAATAAAAAACATAATTTAAGTTATTATTTATAGTGCATCTTTAATTTATTATGTTTAAGGAAAACACGTAGATATGATCCAAACATATAAATGGGCCAACGTGCTGCTAACGAAAGCTGTTACGCTATTTACATCTTTCGGAAGCAGTATCCTCCGGTGGCAGCATTAAATAAATGACAAGATTATTTATTTGTAAGTACCCAGTGCGGAGGTCAAGTGTTGGAACACCTCGGAACAGACTATTGCAAAAATTTCTAAGGCGCGATGAGTCGTTGCGTTACACGACTTTTCAGAGTATGATCTTCTTATTTAACATATGATAATTTAGTAATTAAAATAATTTGAGTCAGAGTTTTACAACAATTTCTGATACGTGCAGTACGTTTCTGTAAAATTTTATTTTTTAAATTAAAAACTAAATTTTGAACCTTATAATGTATGGGACTATTCTACATACTTCAACACCCGCTGCCGCTGTGTTCAAGCACATGATCTTCGCATTGGGTACTGAGTATTGTGTAGCATTAGTATTTTAACATAATGAAAAATAAAGCTTTAGAAAAAACTCTTTCATATTTTTGTCATGAGCTTTTCATCTATTGCTATCTCGAGCTCGGTGCTTCCGAAGGCACGCTTAACCATTAAGCCCATCAATATTTGGCGGTCGTTAACACCCACACTGGGCTCGCGTAGTGGGATGGCCTATCATCCTTATTCGATTCTAAGTTCTTCATAATTAAGCCGATGAGGATAACATCAAATATAGTAAAAAATATCACTAGATGATATTTTTTTACTTCCTCAGTGCTCGGTGGCGTAGTGAATAAGTGCAACGACCCGCGATCGTTGTTGTTAAGCAGCTTTCGTAAGGGTCGGTCACGGGATGGGTGACCTAAAGCTACTCCGTGTTTCGGAAGGCACGTTAAGCCGTTGGTCCCGGCTGCATTAGCTTTTTTGCTTTTTTTTTGTTCCTTTTTTGACGCTTAGAAATGCGTTACGCATACCCGCTTTGCCCTGCGCGAGCTCCACGGGTTATGTAGGACTCTCTCCTGCGGGCCAACCCCAGAATGAGGCTGGTCGAAAAGCGGAGGCCTACCCATTAAAACTCAGCGATGTCCCTCACTGCGGGAGAACAGCGCGCGGTGACGGTCCCCAACGGGACCACTTCCTGCGCATGCCGACCCCGCAGTCGTTAATACCCTCCAAACCGCATTGGTCCAGCGTGGAGTGGCACAGCCCGTCCTCCTTAACTATACGTAGGGAAGGCCTGAGCTCATGTAGTGGGGACGTAAAGAGATGACGATGACTTTATCTTTAGAAGAGTCAAATTATTATGTAGTTTGTTAAGAAAAATACCGGCTTAAGATATATACTTACTGGAAATAAATTGCTTCATTGTGAGAACTAGATGTGTTCCTCCGATTGTCGCACCTCTTCTGATTTGTTTCGATGGAAGACTGTTATTAAATATTAATCTGCGGACAATTTGGTGTACCTTACCATAGTGTAAATTTAGTCAGTATAATTTTGTATATTCAGTTATTGCGATTTTACCGTAACAATTAATTAATTTCAATTTCAAATTCTTTATCATTTATTCAGTATGTGTGACGATGTTACTATCTGTCTATCTTAAACCAAGAATTAAAAAAAATATATATAAAACAATTTAAAAATAATCAAAATATAAAAATATATATTTACAATACTCTCAAACTTAATTGAATCTACATACAATAACATAATTACAACTTAAAACTAAAATTAAAACAAGCAAAATATCGTATTATAAAGAAAAATAATAAATTCAATAGGCACAGTCTGGGCAAAACTGTTATATACTTAGTAAGTCTATTGTTCATGCGCTTGCGCATTGCCGACCGAAGCGGGAAACCGGTTCTCCAACTAAATGCGGGTGGCACAATTGAGATACGACCGCAGCGACAGGACATATTGTCGTCACTTACATTATCTCTCACTAATAACTGTCTCCTTGATTGTGAATTTTTGATTTAGTCTTCTACAAATATAGTTTATGTGTTTATTCCTCATATTGGGTAAGTGTTGAAATACTTATATTCACTTTTGCTGTAGTTTTAGTACATATTGGAAATGCATTGTCATTAAAGGTTACCTTCACCTATTTAGAAAGTTATTATTACCATTAATTCATTTAAATAATCACTATAGATTGTGGGTGATTCGCTTTATTGTTGAATTGTATACGTATTTAATTAGTTGTTAGTGCTTAATATGTTTTCTTATAATTGAGCGACCTTCATCGTCAACCTTGTAATTATGCCTATTGCTTTAAACTTTAAAGTGTAGTAATTAGAAATAAGTTCGTAATAGTATTTCGTGAGATCTCATCTACATCATTATAGACGTTGATTATAAACTTATTGCAAATAAATGGATCTCACGAGGTAATATTTTTTTATAGTTAACTACCTACTTATGGTTTTATAAATAAGTAAAGTAATTTTATTGCTAAACTTGTATTGTTTGTCTGCCTCATCATTGATATCTATTTATGCTAGTCATTTCATCTGCACTGAAAAACTCCATCTCACACCGCTTGCAGTATCATGATGTTGCAGTCAGACTATAAAACTGAATAGTGTTGAAATGTCTGGTTTTGCACTATTACAGGGACCTATCCTCTGGCAGTGTAAAGAAAGGTCTGGATTGTGCTACACACATTATTCGGGAACCTTTACTTTTGCACCAGTCGTGTCTGGATTACTGGGACCAGTGACCGGAGATCTGCAACGTGCGATATTATCTGGATTGCCAGGACAGTGGTGACCAAGAATCTGCTACGAGACGGTTGCTTAATGTCACGGACCCACACCCTAAATATTTCAATATTACTTAAAACTTAATTTTTATAAAACTATTTTGGGGACCTACCCTCTTGTATGTAATTAAATATGTTATCATATCTGATATAGTTTATTTAATTGGCTTAACCGCCACAATAGGCTGTTAATAGTAAATCTTTGTAAATCTATGGCGGGAGACCTTGCACTGAGAATAACTGGCAAGAACCTAATTGAGCGCTGATTTTTTCTCCCTTTTTTATTTCATACAGAGAAGTCCAATTGGAAAATAACTTCATTAGGCTTTGAAGACATTTTCCATTAACAAATTAATCATCGACAAATTAATATAGATACAATATGCACAATAAAAGAATATGGAGAAACTTTGGAAAGGAGGTTAAGCAATAAGGATAAATTCGAAATAAGGATATTCCAAAAATATTGTAATTGCTTATTATCTGCAGGGTGTCCAACTGTTGATACTGTAATACACACCATTAAGAACAAATAGATCGTTTATTGTCGGAATGTGAAGAAAGTATAAAAACTGGCAATTTATATAAAAACGAAATTCAGCTCTTAATTCAATTAGAAAGATCGATGACGCAGCGGTTAAAACATTTGGTTTGCGATGTGGAAATCAAACAACGTAAGCAAAGACCAGTCACAGGATAACTGAGCAAAATTTTTTATTATCTCGAGCTTCTCCGTGATTCGGAAAGCACATTAAGTCGTTGGGCCCTGTTGTATCTGCGGTTATTAATATCCACTAATCAGCACAGGACCCAGATTGTGAGATAGTGAGACAAATAAAAATATTTTTTGAAAACAATTTGCTTTTTTATTAGCGTAACTTTCATAGTATTTATATTCCTCAACATGTTCATCAACAGTGGATCGATTTGTGCCTTCTTTTTTCCTTATAATATATCATCATCATCATCAGCCGTAAGACGCATTCTGCTGAGCTTAGGCATCCCCCATAGATCTCCACGGCGATCGATCCTGCGCTGCCCACATCCAGCGGCTTCCCTACACATTTATAAGATCATCGGTCCACCTGGTGGGAGGCCTACCCATTGAGCGTCGTCCGGTACGTGGTCGCCATTCGAGAACTCTTGAGCTGCAACGGCCATGAGTTCTTCTCGCTATGTGTCTCGTTAACTGCCACTTCAGCTGAGCAATTCTTTTAGCAATATCAGTAACGTTAGTTCTCCTACGGATGTTCTCATTCCTAATTCGATCACGTAGAAAAATTGCTCTCCCCATTAAATTGTAAAATATATCCCGATTTTGTAATTACCGACGCGGTTAAGATTGATTGTTCTTTTTTGCTAACCCGAAAAATTTAAAGATAGACCGATACCTAGTCTTATTTTACGACTCTTTAAAGTTATTTAAAAACAAAATAAAACTTTTTAGTAAAAAAGTTAAAATATTACATTACTATGCAATGTGCACTGTGGAAACTTGTTATCGTCTCGTACAACCGAAATTATTTTGTTATGAATCTATTTATAGTCAAATATGATTACTTACTAATGAATTTAAAATGTTTGTTTTTTATTCTATCTTTTCTGGTAATTATTTAATTATAAACGCTGATAGGCAACCGAAAAAAGGTAAGCATAGGATGCGTCATGTGTTTATTTAACACAAAGTGGCTTATCAAATAATTACTTTGATAGACCACTTTTCTAAAGTATTATTTAATTAAAATAACTTTTGACCTATTCACCATCGTCATCATGAGACTATTAATGTCCTTACTTCTAGAGTCAATCCTTCCCTATATACGTAATCGAATCAAATTGAATGGAGAGAATGGGTGACCATGACCCACAATAGCTCAAGACAATCAATTTTGGGTCGCCCATCCCGGGCCACGGCGCTTATCCACTACGCCACCGAGCAGCTAATATTATTTTATAACTTTTATCAAGCTTTTTTACGCGGTACGAAAGGTCGCATTATTTCAATACACTTTGACTTAGTAAATTTCCAACGATTAAAATTAAAGTAAGCAGTCAACACAATATATTATCAATAACTTGTCAATAGGCCACTGAAACGATATTTCAGAAAAAAAAAACTACTTACTTATTCTTAAATAACGTTATAAAAACTGAGCTCTGATCACATTATGTACTATTTTAGGGTGCAGGGG